TGTAAAGCAACACAGTGCTCAGTACATAGTAAGCATTATATAAATGTTAGATATTATTAGTAATTACCTAACAAGTTATCATTCAGTATTTATTTGAAGACCTCAAGTAAGGGGAAATCCATTCCACTTTTGGATAGCCCGTAGTGTTGAGAAGTTTTGTTAAATTTGGCTCTTTTCAGCTTACACTAACATTTTCCCCTTGGGTATGCCACCCAAAGACCTTGCTGAGAGAAATCATCTCTGCTTTCTTTGATAAATCAATTAAACCCAGGGGGAAATATAGACCAGAGTTGTAGTCAGTTTGACTTCTGCCTTTATAAGGAGAATAGGGACATTGCTACGATGGCAGGCATGCCAGCAAAAGACTCTGAATGTTCCTTCCCTGTCATGAGTGTTTTGGTATCACCTTGAGACATAAAACTTTAAGAGAATTTGTATGGCAAAGCATGATGGGAGTCAGAAATAATAAAGAAAAAGACTGCACATATTTATCTCCAGTGTCAGAAAATCACAAGATGAGGTATGAGCAGTAAAGGTGAGATATGCTACTTGTCTGAACTAGGGAAGAAATAAAAGAAAGTCACTTTTCCTAACCTAGCTAAGAGTTAGGGCTGGAGACCCTATGGAAAAGCAACAAAGACGTGTCTTACTTTTCATCCCAGGTGCTAGAAATCCTAGAAAGAAGAAACAGAGCAAAGCTTCTTGGGATGGCAGCAGAAACAATTTGAGGTGATGGCTTTGGTTTGGAGCTATGGAGTATATGTGTGCTTCGTGAGGGATGACAGAGACGTGGATTTAGAACTGAACTATGGCTACTGAGACAGAGGAAGCTGTGATTGATAGTGTCAGGGACAGCCAGAGAGATACAACGATAGTGAAAGGAGCCAAGTTGTTGCCTAAAGAGCTATTCTGGTAGCAACTCAAGGCAGCCCTCATTCTAGAGGCCTCTTTGCGTGAGTTTCCCCACACAAGTCTTGTGGGGGAGGGGGGATTATTTTCCATTAGTTTATGAGGGAAGTCAAAGATTTAGAACTGGAAGGAGATTTAGAGGGCATTTAGCCCCACCATCTAATTTTATAGAAGAGGAAACAGATCCAGAGAGGCTGTGTCATGGCCAAGGTCACACAGAGAGTAAGAGACAAAGCCAGGATTTAAACCCAAGTCTTTGGATTCCAGATCTAGTATTCTTTCTTCAGTACCATGCTGCCTCCATGTTAACAATGACTTTATTTCATGAGTTTTCCTGTTAGTTTTGTTTGGTTGCTATAGTTCAAGTAAATGCTTTATTGTTTTAAGTTCTGCTGATTTGTTTAGTTTGTGAGTAGAGTCTACATTGGTTGGGGGTTCAAGATGAAAACACATTTCTCTTCTCCAAAATGAACCCAAGTTACATCCGGAAAGGCTAATGGGATAAGAGGAGAATTTCCGAGGGGTGAGAAGAGAAGAAAGCAACAGTGGTCTGTCACTGCACACTGCACAGGGGGGATCTATCTAACCTTTTGGATAGATGCATCTAATTCGGATGCTGGCCTTACCCTGATCCAGCATGCTAAGGTGGAAAGAGTACTGACTTTGAAGGCAGAGGACCTGAGTTCAAATCCTCCTTTTGTTACCTTGGATAAATCACTTCATCTCTCTGAGCTTTAGTTTCCTGAAAAATAAAGGGGTCAGACTAGACATATATGGTCCGTGGTATGAACCGTGGCAGCCATACCACTTTTCAGTGAGGTAGTGCCACCTTTAATTTTGATTAGAGTGAGACAGTGTGGCGTGATGGATAGAGCTTTATTTTCTGAGATATAGTGACACTGTCCTCCTTGCTGTTCTTCAAATACAAAACTTCATCTTCTGACTATGTATTTTCAGAGGATGTCCCTCATGCCTGGAATTCTCTTCCTCCTCATTACTACTTCCTGGCTTCCTGACTTCCTTCAAGTCCTGGCTAAAAGGCCACCTTCTACAAGATGCCTTTCCCGAACACCCAAAATTCTAGCTCCTTCCTTCTGGGATCATCTCCGATTTATTCTGTCTGTATCTTACTTGTACATAGTGGTTTACATACTGTCTGCTCCATTAAACTGTGAGGTCTCTGAGAACAGGGACTGGGTATTTTTTGCCTTTCTTTTCATCCCCAGTATTTAACACTATGACTGGAAATTTTTGTTGAATAACTAACTGTTGGAGGCCTTTGGATTTGGATTCAAAACCTCCATCAGTCAGATACTTACCAGCTGCGGGACCTCAGACAAGTCACTCACCCTCTCCGAGCCTCAGTTTCCTCATTTATAACATGAATGGGTTGGGCCCAATGATACCTTAGGTCCTTTTCACCTCCACATCTATGATATTTGATAACTTTCTTCTTATTCCATAGTTGAAGCATTTAAGACTTACTTGAGTCTAAGTATTGTCTTTTTCAGCCTCCATCTCCTCTCCCTCTTTCTTTTCTTTATTTTTCTTCCCCTTTTCTTGTAACAGATGGAGCCCCCTAAGATAGCTACAATAGGTTCAAGTCAATATGTGGGAATACTTCCTGTCGAGAACTGCACTTCACCATCCCCCACCAATGTGTTTGCTTTTCTTTTTTAATAGCCAGAGGTCAAAACTAATTCAATGAAAAGTCATTTAATAAAAAATAGTAAAATGGGGTTTTTTTAAAGTATCAATGGAACATCTTCCTCCCATAATAAATAAACCTGGAGTACTTCCCCACAAAAATACACATCCTTAGTGGAAAGAAGGAGCAGACACAGGGATCATGTGTGAGGTATATACATATAAAGAACAGGTATGGCCAGAGAACACACAAATGAACCAGGGTAAAGAACACACACGACCAGAGATACATGTAGAGAATCACCTCTTGCCTCTGACACCACAGGACCACTCATCTGTGTTGTCATTGCACTGCCCTTTCTGAGCCTACTCCACACTGAGCCTGCAGTCTCTACTGGCCATTGATCTGATGATCTCATTGTGGCTGCTGAGCACATCATCTCTGCTGGTCATTGCTCCTTGCTATCAGCTTCTGGGCCTCATCTTTTCAGGACCACCTACCCGCCAACTCTCTAGCTTTGCCAGTTCTGGGTGGCTAAGCCTCTTAAGGACAGGCAAATAGTTCTAACATAACTAACAAACTAGCTAGCTAACACCAAAAGTCAAGCAGAATGCCCCCGGGTTAAGTTTTTCAGCTCCCATATCTAGGACAATGATCACATTCCTCTGAATCAGACAGCTATCTAACTTAAGGTTAGAAATCCCTAGGTTCCCCTTTGGCTTAACATTCAAATAAGTTTAACAAAAACTAGGCTTGAGCTAGAACAAAAGGTAAAGGAAAAGGCCCGATCTCATGGAAAGAGGGAGCGTGACACAGTAGGTAGGACATTTGAGCTTTGGAATCAGAGAACCTGGGTTCAAATCACATCACTGTTATTTATTACCTGCGTGACCTTGGACAAGTTACTTAACCCAGTATTTAGCACTGTGCCTGGCACATCAGTAGGTATTTAATAAATGTTGATTGAGGTGAATTGAATGACCCTTTCTGGAATTTAGCTCATTTTTTTTTTGGTGGGGGGAGCTTTTTGGTGAGGCAATTGGGGTTAAGGGACTTGCCCAGGGACACACAGCTAGTAAGTGTCAAGTGTCTGAGGCCAGATTTGCACTTGAGTCCTCCTGACTCCAAGGCCAGAACTCTATTCACTTCGCCACCTAGCTGCCCCTGGAATTCCAAACTAGATGATATCTGAGGTCCCTTCCAGCTCTAAATCTATGGTCCTGTGATCTACCCTAATAGCCCAGATTCCTCCTTTATTAAATATACCCATCCGCATCAAAATCTTTTTGTTTTCCTTGTCCTTCTGCTTTATTCTTTTTTCCTTGTTTTCATATCCAAATCCATTCTTTTCTATAAAGCACAGAAATATGAAACATAAGATCATAGAGTCTAAAGTGGGGGTCCTCCAGTTCTCGATGTTCATTTTCCAGATGAAGAAAATGAAGGCTGGGAAAGTGAGTTTCTGCTCACGTCTCCTAATAACGCAGCACTGTGAACCAAGCTAGTTCGGTCTGCTCAGAAAGCTGGATGGTCCTCTACTGAGGCCTCATTTGTTTTGTCTGCTACCTACCGTTGTTTGTATAAAGCACATCAAGGCTGCCTTCTGTGAAAAGCCCCGTTTAAAATGAGCTTGAAAGTAAATAGGACTGTTGCCTGCTGTACACCTTTGTGAAAGTCGGCAGGGGGCACGCCTATAAGAAAGATGGGGGAAGGCCACTTACGGATGAGAGGTATGGGTGGTTTCAAGGGCCCGAGTGAGGGTACCACAAGTCCAGGGACCACACTTCACCTAAGTGACTTTTGTCCGCTCCCCTTTTGCTGTTTCCAGAGAGTCGAGGCAAATCAAGCAGCATTAATCACAAGCCTGTTAGCAACAACCTTGCCCCTAGAATAAAGAACATGGCTTTATAAGGGTATGAGCATGTTTGCAAAGGAATTTAGCAAAGCCATATACTCACCATGCACACCCCACACGTACACACCAGAGCCCCTGAAACAGTAACAAATGAAACTGAGTCCGTGCGTCCAGACTAGGGATACCAGAATCCAATCAAGAGAACCATCAAAGGGGCGGGGTTTGAACTAGGTGACCCGTGTAAAATTGTTATGAGCCAGTTAATGGTTAGTTGAGAGCAGCACACTCACATGCTGGGATTTGGGTGGGTCTATAAACGTAAGATGAGCTCTGTAAGAAGGGCTTGAAATTGGAGCCTGGCCCATTCAGTGTCCTTGCTCTCCCTTGGGGGAGCTCTCGGTTACTGTTTTGCTTTCCCATGCTGATTTAAGGGACTTAATTTCCCTTTGCTGCCATGGCAACTGGGAAACAACCTTTGTGCACAAAGAGGATGGTGGGTGTTTCATGAATCTCTGGATGCACGAATCCCGTAGCAAAGCAACCAGCTCAGAACATCAACAAGTCCTTGTAGTAGGCAGGAGAGGAAGAGTCTGTTGGGAGGGATGGAAGGTCTGGAACTGGAAGGCTCTGGGGAGTTCTTTTTCTGACAAAGACCCACACTGTATAAATTGTGGAGCAGGGTGTCATTAAGAAGCTGTTGTAAGAGGGGAAAAATGCATCTAATAAAAGGCCCAGTGTGTGAAGTCCTGGGCTCACTGCTGACCTAAGGAAACTTTAAGGTGTAAGCACTTTAGCCTTCCAGAGCAAGATGAATGGCTTCTGAAAAGAAGCGGCTGGCAATGAAACATGTTCACTCTCTCCCTTCTGAGCCGTGGAAATGGGCAAGTGGTCCAGAGCAAACAGAAGAGGCTGGAGGTCTTCTTGGAACCGGAGGTCAGTCCCACAGCTGTTAGCCTAGTTCATTTGGGGATGAGAGGAGAACAGACTGTCCTTTTGGTCTCCAGATTTCATGGTTCCTGGTGTGATGGTCATTCTTGTTCCTTTTCCTCTTTTCAGGAAAATGTGTGAGGTTATTTACTTTGCCTAGCAGAATGAGAGTTACCACAGGAGAGTTCCCCATCCACCTTCCCCAACCCACTCACCTGCTGTTGTCAGGTTAGTGCGGCTGGGCTAAGGAGCTGGAAATTAAGAGGATTTGGTCCAAGACCAGAATTTCCATATAGGACACTTCCAAGGATGTAGATAGATTGTGTTTTCAGAACAGGGTATGCTATTGTGTGTGCCAGTGCAACAATTTATGACATTCTCTGATATTCTGGGACTCTTGTGTCATAGCCAACATTTAATGCAGGTAACATTTTACAATAACAAATTTAAAATGGGGATGGAGATGGGGAGGTGATCAGATTCCTTGCTGGCCTGGAATTTTGTCAAATTAGATGCCACCAGAAAACAAATGAGACACTAGAGGGGCCTTGGAAAGTCTTGCGTCATAAAGAGATTTCAGTTGCAATGGTGTTCATTATATTGGCATTTGTCCTGTCTAGGCTTAGAAGCCCATGTTGTAGAGCACTTTCATGGTTGATGATAGTATATAGAGTCACCAACAAGATACATACAGAAGGCCTTTATTACATCCTATAGAGGCAAAATAGATACAGCTGTATAACTATAAATAGATAAATAGATAAAGCTATAAAACATCTGGAGGGTGTTTGGAGCTTCATTCTAGCTGGATGGTTAGAGATCACTTAGATCTCTAGTTAGAGATGGTGGTCAGAACGGAGAACTCTACTATTTAAACCTCCTGATGGTTGAGTCAGTTTCAAGTTACCAGCTGACCACTAAGCTAAAGAACTGGCTTATCAATGACCTTACATGAGGCTTGTAGCCCACATTTAGGGGATAGGGACAGGAATTGAATCTGTGATTTCACTGGTGTAGGGAACTCTCCAGGTGAGGAAACTTCTAGCAATGCAGGTCACCATCTCTGTGGCTTATGGGCTTAGAGAGTTTGCCTAGAGCATTGAGAAGTTAAGCAGTTCCCCCAAGATTACACAGCCAGTATTTGTCAGAGACAGAACTAGAATCCAGGTGTTCCTGCCTTCAAGGTCAGTTCTCTATCTACTACTCCATATTGCCTCTCAACCCACATTATTGCTACTAAAGTCTACTAGAATGAATAGCTCACTTAAAAGTTATGTGGGTTAGAATCTAGCTGTTCTGCCTACTAATTGTCAGCAGTAAGGAGCAACTTTGGTTATATGGATTATATTGAGACTTCTGATATTAGGCAAAGTTAACAAGAACAGATCAATGTCAGGAAAACATCAAACATTATACAAATGCATGCCCTCTGTGATGCTGTCCAAGATGGTTATTTAAAGAGGCTGTATCCTGGTGGTTGTTGCTTTTCTTTATAGGATTATTTGAACTGGACACCCCAAGACAAAGCCCTGATCAGCAAGCCCCAGGACAGGACACAAGTTACACGGGGATGCCTTCCTAAAACTTATAGCACCAGAAAGGGGGTCTTAATTCTTTACTCAGAAGACTTTGCGGAGCCATCATGGAAACAAAAAGAAAGAAAAAGAAGGCCCCGTCCCTACCATCGCCAAGGGAAGAAGTCAGGTTTTGTTCTGCAGACGCTCAAAGACCTGACAGCCGCCATATTGGCATATGGGAGTGAAAGGGTGAGTACAAACATTCTGCAGGTGTTCAGAAGGAGGTGTGCCAAAGGAAGAATTGGCAGATCCCAGGTATCATCCTAGCTCTGATGGTGACATCCTATGCAACCCCAGGCAACTCATTCATTTATTCTGAGTGTGATGGAAGGGAAAGAACACTGAACATGAAGTCAGAAGAACTACATTTGAATCCAAGCTTTGTCACTTGTTGGCCAGATGGCCTTGGGCAAATCACTCTTTGAATCTTTCTACTCTATAAAACATGGGTGCTAACACACATACTTCCATGGTACAAGACAAAGAGCAAATGCTGGGGGCAGCTAGGTGGTGCAGTGAATAGAGCACCGGCCCTGAAGTCAGGAGGACCTGAGTTCAAATCCAGCCTCAGACCAAACACTTGCACTTACTAGCTGTGTGACCCTGGGCAAGTCACTTAACCCCAACTGCCTAAAAAAAAAAGGCAAATACTGGGTTCAGATCCTACCTCTAACACCTACTACCTATGCCATTTTATTAACCTCCCTATGCCTCAGTTTCCTAATATGTAAAATGAGGAAGTCAGAATACTTGGATTCTGAGATCCTTTCCAGCTATGATGGAAGGGCCCCTTCCCCATAGGGTTGTTGCGAGGATCAAATAAGATACTGTAGGCATAACCCTCTGTAAACCTTAAGGCATGATTATTTACAAAATGCAGATAATGTTATCAACCCTCTTGGTAGATACTGCAGAGCTGTCATGAGATTCAAATGGGTTATATGTCAAATCTCTTTGAAAAAATATAAAGCATGAAATGACGCTACGTTCAGTAACAGAATCTTAGGACTAAAAGGAAACAGATTATCTAGCACTATGCAAAAGCAAGGCACCTATTCTGATGACTGTCTTTTTCACATGTCTTGAATCCTTCTTCTTTTTATTTCACGCCTCCCTTTCTCTGTTATACTTACTGTATACTTTTCCTCCAAGGGCCAGAACTATGACCCATGGGTGGAAGTTACAGGAAGGCAGCTTTTTTGATCAACCTAAGAAAGACCTTTTTAACATCTAGAGTTGTTCAATGATGGAATATGTTGCTTCATGGAGTAATTACTCTCTCCCTCCCTATTCCTGGGGGTATTCAAATGAAGGCTAGATGACCAACTGTCAGAGATGTTTGTAGGAGGTATTCCTGAATTGCGTAGAGAGCTAGATTAGCAACCTTGAAAACTCTTTCTAGGTCTATGATACTGCAAATATGCATCCAATATTTTCCCAGAGAGACTTCTGGAGGTCTCAGACCTCAGAGAGGGAGGAATAGGTGGGCTATGGTCACTCTCAGAAATTCTGACAGATAGCTTCATATTACATGAATTTACCTGCCCTGCTTGGTGGAGATTATCCAACTTTGTCCTGATTCCTTTACCTGTAAGCTTTACCTCATCTTTTATGCAAACAACAGATTAGCCAATGACTGTAAAGATAATTGGCAGCCAATTGATGAGGGCAGAGCAGGTACAAGCTGGGCTATCTTGCTCTCTGTTTTCCTTGGGTTAAATCCCAATTTGTAATTTGTTCTATTCATTTTGATAAAACTGTACAGCAGCCATGCTGGTGAGATGGATCCCTTTGAGATCCATAAGCTTTATACATAAAGCATCCATCACACACATTTCAGAGAGGTTGCAAAACAAGCATGTCTCAGTAAGTCTATGATATTCCTACATAATTCTAGTCTAACTATATCAAAGGAAATTTGCTTGCATGTACATAGAACACAAATATAAAGACATGCGTGTATTTTACAGATAAGGAGCTCATAAAAATATCCAAAAAGATATGAGTACATGAAGGCAATATTTAATTTAACCTTCAGGAATTTAAATATTGTAAGGACTTGGAACTTTTGATCAGAACTGTAACTAGGGCTGAACAACTGGAGTTTTGAACCAGGGTGCTAAAATTTAGATGGTGCTGACAGTGCTCTCAGTCCTAAAAGTTAGAAACAAACAGAACTCAGCAAAGATAATTAGTTAAAATGAGAAACTACCAGGTGGCACTGCTCCTTCCCCAGCAGCCACACAGGTGAGCTCTCCCCTAGCCTGGCATTCCCACTCCTTCCTACACTATGTCTACCTCAGAAGCCTTGCAGTATTCTGGAGTTTCCACCTCCTCCCCAGGCCAACTGAACCAAGAATTTGTTTCATGCCACTTACCTGAGGCACACAAATTGCTGGTCATGGCTCTGCTTGTAACATTCTCTGTCTATACACATTGTAACACCTGTGGGCTGAAAGAGTGCTTTTGGCTAAGAGAGGAGATTTCAGGCATTCTATTTTTTTTTAATTGTTTCACCATGCTTGCTGCTTATAAGGATTTTGCATTACTACATTGGGAAGGCAGGCACCAAGAAAGTAATGACAATATTGAGGAATAGAATAAGAACAGTAGGGAGCTACGAACTTGAACCATTTGATTAAAACAACTATAGGTTAGGGGAGGTAAGAAGAGAGAAAGCCAATTAACGTATGATGCTAAGGGAAACAGGAACGCCCAGAGATGACAAAAACTGATTGTCTTCCAAATAATGCTGCATGCTATTATTTCTTTGACCCCAAAATAAAGATCATCCACTAAAAGCACTAAAACCAAAATAATAGAACCAAAATGGTGGGGGGAGGTGCAGTGAGGGTGGTTAGAGGGGGCAGTAGGAAATACGTCAGCTCAGTGTGTAGTGGGGCTTAGGGAAAAATCTATAAAAGCTTAACTACTAATTAGGAAGACCTACATAACTTAGTCTCCACTCAAACCGGTGGGAAATGAGGTTGTCTCAAATAGGTGGCAATTAAAATTTTAAAGCATCCTACATCATCTTGAGTTCTATAAATGGATCTACTGAAATAGATGTGGCAACATGTCTGTGTTTGATAGCTCAATGCACACCTACTTCTTGACTTTTTTGACGACATAACTTCTTAATGAGTAGAGATAAATAAATGTTAAACCAAGAAGTTAGATGTCAAAGCTCTCAGGCTTTCAGGGAAAAAAAAACTGCAATGTCATTTTGTTGGCTGCTTTTTTTCCCCCCTAAACACAAACAACCATTTTCAAACATTCCTAAAATGAGCACCATCTTCTTGGGCCTTAGCTTCATGTAAACACAATACCGTGGGCGGCTTGTGGAGCAGTCAATAGAGTCATGGGCCTCGAGTTAGGCAGTCATTATTGTTTAGTCTTTTTTTCAGTTGTGTTCTACTCTTCATGACCCCATTTGGTGCTGTGCTGGCAAAGATACTGGAGTGGTCTGCCATTTCCTTCTCCAGCTCATTTTATAGATGAGGAAATTGAGGCAAACAGGATTAAGTGACTTACCCAGGGTCACACAATTAGTAAGTATCTGTGGCCAGATTTGAACCCTGCTCTTCCTGACTCCAGGAAGACACTCTGCCAGCTGTGCCGCCTAGTTTAAATACCTCCGCCTATACTTATTAGCTGTGTGACCCTGAGCAAGTTACTTAACCTCTGTTTGCCTCAGTTTCTTCAGCTGTAAAATGGGGATAATAATAGTACCTACCTCTCAGGATTGCAGTGAAGATGAAATTAGATAGTGTTTGTAAAAAAGAAAAAAAGCACTTAGCACAGTGCCTGGTGCATAGCAGGCACTATTTGAATGTGTATTTCCTTCCCTTATTCCCTCTGGTATGTCTAGAACATGAACAACCTGAAAATTTAAATAACCAGAATTTTTTTACAGTACTCTCTATTGATAACATATAAAAGTATGCACCTGAGGCACTGTAGGATCCCAAATGTACCTTATGAATCATCAAAGAGATTAAATTATGATCAGTATAATTTAAGTGTTGTGTTTTATTGTATTGTAATACTTGGGAAATTGGCAATCTGGTGATATTGGTGTGGTAAGTTTCATTAGACCAGAATATCCATGTAACCCAAATACCTTATTTTTTAACCATAACAGCAAAAAGTGATTTACTGTAAATTATTTAAGCTTCAGTACTATTAATGTTGCCTTTATCTTTTGTCTCATTATACTGACAGCACTTTTCCCACCTCTCCTAATTTATACTGTCACATCCACTGTACGCTCTCTGAATATCTCAGTTCTTTAAAAGTTTACCTGTTCATTCCAAGAACAACAAAGCGACAGGATTTCAGAGTTGGAAGAAACCTCAAAACTACTGCGGAGCAATATTTCACCCATCTTGTACCTGCGAAATTGATTTTTTGAATCTGAGTGTAGGACTTTACATTTATCTCTACTAATTTTCATCTTATTTGACTAAACCTTAATGTTTCTAGCTTGTCCAATCTTTTCTAATTCTGATTGTCATGCAGTGTATTGGTTATCTTTCCTTTGTGACTTCTGCAAATCCAATAAACAAGCTAGCTATACCTTTATCCAAGTCATTGACAAAAATGTTAAGTGGCATGGGGTCAAGCACAAATTCACAGGGCACCGGTACTGACTACATTTACTCTCATCTAGCCCATATCTCTCCCTCTAGTCCACAAGGGTCTTCTTCATGCTCAACACAAAAAGACAATGGTGAGACTTTGCATCTCAGGTATTTGTATCTTTAATAGCTAACATTTATATAGTGCTTTAGGGTTTGCAAAATGATTTACAAATATTATTTAATTTATCTTTACAACTCTGGGAGGTAGGTACTATTAACATCCCTCTTTTATAGACAAGGAAACTGAGGCAAACAGCTGCTAAGTGACTTGCCCAGGGTCACACAGCTAGTAAGTATCTGAGGTCAGATTTGAATTCAGGTTCTCTTGACATCATAGTTTCTTAGAACGTATTCTAGCAAAAAATGGAAGAGAAAGTGTCTTTCCTATAGATAATCATACATATGGGAGAGAGGATGTTTTTTAGGCTCCTGAAAATTAAACCTTGTTAAACATAGGGATAATTAGGCTTTTTGGAAAGAGATAATGGTGGCATATACACTAAATTATGGTTTTGGGAGGAAATATAGCTGGTACCAAATGATGCT